CGGTCTGCGGATGATCCGCTGTCGACATATCCAACTTGGTGCCTAGCACCTTGAAGATGGTCAACCAAAATGTTTCCGTGAAACGGGGGTCTCTGTTAGCGACAATCGACGCTAGGATTCCGTGTTGTCGTAAGACACGATCCACGAACAGCGTTGCTGTACTGACCCCGTCGATGGTGTCTGGTACCGTCGCCAAATAAGTCATCTTGCTCAACCGGTCGACGAATACCACGACAACCGTGTTGCCCGCCGAGTCTTTCGGCAGGCCAAACACAAAGTCCAAGCTCATGGACTACCAGCACCCAGTGGGGACCGGTTAGCTGGCCAGAGGTGCAGCCGCATTTGGAGAGGATTTCACCAGTTGACACGTTTCACGTAGGTGCTCGTCCATTTGTACAGCTTGGGCCACCAAAAGTGGTGACTCACAGAGTTGTACGTTTTCTCACGACCGACCACTGAGTGGCGTATCGTGAGCCTCGTAGAAGATGCGATATTTCAATTCCTCATCATGAGGAACCACAATTCGTGGTGTATCCGTTGAATCGGTGCTATAATATAGCAAGCCGTTATTCAACGAGTATCGGTGCAACCGTGCACGCAGTATTGGTGACAAATTTTTGTCCGAGTATCCAACTTCCTTGCTCCTGAGAGCCCGTAGCAGCGCTACATACATCCCATCACCCGCATACGCGGTGCGGATCAAATCCGTCACAGACGACGTGATAGCTGTAACATGAGCAAGCTCATAGTCTGGTCTGCGTGACAATGCATCAGCCAAAGCATTCTGCTTTGCAGGCTTATACTTCACCTCGAAGTTATATCCGCAAAGAAGGATAGCCATTTAGCCATCCTCTGCGAGGGGTGGGGCGACTAAATCGCAGTGCGTAGTGACCGCATGATCTGTATAGATCACAAACGGCTTGGAGCCGAGCAGGTGAACCCTGAACTTGACAAGTGCGTACTTCATCGCAAGTAGCCCCTTATCATGAACATGGTAGTTCTTCTCTGCCGCTTTGAGCTGTCGAGATTCGAACGCGATCACTCGATCTCGCCCTCGGCGTTTGCTTGCAGCAGTGCACAGCCGATGGCAAAGTCCGAAGCGTCACAGCCGACGCTGAAAGGACGATCAGGGTCTGGTAGCGCCAGTATTGGTGCATCCAGGAAGCTGTCTTTGACCCCGTCAAAAGCCTCTTGAAGTCCGGCGTTCCAACACCATTTTACATTCTTTTTAAAGAGATTGGATAATGGTCGGGCCATTTCTGCGTACTTTACACTGTATTTGTGAAAGTAGTTGGCGAGACCAAGCCACTTACGCAAGTCCTTCTGGTTCATTGGAACCGGCCAGTCTACAATGGCGTTGACCTCAGCGGGTCCCGCTCGAAGGCCACGCTTTCCAATGAAGCACCTTAAAAAGGAATCTCTTCTGCACCAAAGATGCACTATCTGCATTGGCGTTCAGCTTGTTTGTGCGCATGCACTCGAGCACAGCTTTAAAATGGACGATACGATTCTCCTCATCTGTCAATCGCTCTCATGAGCAATTGGTAGTCTGCATCTACCAAATCGAGTGCACTGTACTTCGTAGACCCCACCATGTTGTTTTGAAGAACATCCTTTCTAGGAATTGGCGTTTGCGCCGAAACAGTGGCAGCGCTGAGCTTATTGTAAGCATGAGCGATACGCCACTTGCCCTTCGGCTTCCGAACACAAAACGTGGGTGATGAATTGGGAGACTCTATCCTTGTGTCGTGCTTTGCACGGAAAAAGGCGTCAATGACGTCGCACTGCTCCTTGGGCAGGGACCATTAGCGTGTTAGGCAGTATTTGGTTCCCGAAACCAGGTCGATCTCATGACGCACACCTCGGTCCGGAGGTAGGACCGAAGGCGGGTCTTTGGAGACAGCGTCTTGAAATTCCTTGACCAAAGGATAGTACGAATCTATGGGATTCCGCAGGATCGACAAACCACTTCGTGCGTTAAGCACTCTCTTGGTGCCCTTCAAGACGGCTTCATCCAGAAGCGATGACGAGTTTATCTCCTCGTCCGGTCGTACGATGACCACTTCGGCCAAATCGCCTGCGTTCAAGGCACTGCCGAACTCTTCAAGGGACATCTCGTCCAGCTCAAGAAGACCATTTACTGCAGGCATAGTCCCAAGGCGGACGTCGCCATCTTCCTCCCTCGTCATACCGTTGACGAGTGTGTAGAATGGTGCGCCAA